ATATTTAAATATACTATTTGACCAATTTGACCAGCACAGATCCTTTGACCAGACCGGTCAAATTGGTCAAATTGGTCCGGTCCAATGGTCAAACTGGTCTGGTCAAGCCAACACTGATACTACTATAGTACTGCTATATTGTACTCTTTATACTATTTGATTCGTTGAAGCTCTAACAACCTATTTGTTTTAAAAACGTTATACGTTGTGACTAAGCTTGGGGAGAAAATTTTAAAAACGTGATTTCTTCGATTTGTGTAATTTATGAAAATCATATGATAAAAAATTAGGTGTGACATCTCGATCGACTGATATGCAGTAGATTTTAAAAATATATAGTTTACGTTACCTACACTCGAAATTTTTACAGATTTTAAACACATGTCTCGAATATTATTTGTCAAAATTCATATCACCAATTATATTTAGTCCAAAGTTTAAATCACTTAATTTTAACCTTTAATATTTTACCAAGTAACAAACGATTAGAAAAGTAAACCATAAATCTGAAAGAGAAGCTTTAGATTTATTATTTTTACAGTTTATTTTTTTAATACCACTTAAATTAAAAGACAAGATGTTATTTGAAATTATATATATGAATTTTTAACCATATTTATTTTAATATTAGAAATAATGCTAAAATCGATAATGCTAATTTGAGGTCTTGATTTGAAAATATAACAATAAACTTACTACGTTAAGTCCACCTATACTCTTTTAATATAAGCACTAAAAATAAAAAGATTTCAGCTCGACATTTAATATTTTGAAAATTGACTAATGGTTGGCACAGGTTTTCTATAAGCCCCGGATACAAGATCAGTCGACCACGCGCTCTCTATCTTCCTCAGCTGAGTAGCTGAATTATGGACGTGCTTATTAAAAGCGAAAAATACGTACAACATATTTTTCTAGCATTAGCATTTTTTAAAGACAGCTTTAGGAGTAAAATTTATAATAAAAATACAGTAAATATATAGCACGAAACTATTTTTGAGATTTTGCATAATTTGTATTTTACTGCACGCATAATTTTTGCTGTAGCCATATCATAATGGACACCCTAGCTAGAGCCATGCAGGGCCAGGGTTACTCTAGATTGCCTTTTTTATACAGCATTTAGCATAGATCCTGTAGATTTTGATTGGTTGATCTATACAAAAATGTACCTTTAGACGATCCCAAATATTGGTATATTCCAGTATTCCCAGTATTCCCAAAACTAAAAATGCACAATATCACAATTGTCACTAGCCAATCAGAAAATAAAATATTTCAATATTTCTAAGATACTCAACAAGCAGTAACGATAATTTTGCTAATTTTGACAATATCCACAATGCCAATCCTCCCAACGACTACGCCGCGTTCATCATTTCACGAAGAAATGCATTATAAACGAAGAAGACCAACATACTGGACTGCTTCAATTCCATTATTTCTACGAAGATTATTCCGCTTTCCACAAATGGTAAGGTTCTTTGTGAGCGTTTGTTTTCAGAACAATAATGGTTTTACAATTGCAAATTTTTTTCCAGGATTTCGAGTATGCATTTTGGCAAATGCTCTACTTATGCATAGCTCCAAGAAGAGTGTGGGTAACAACTTTGTTAAAAATGTTATAAGCACCAAGATTGTGTCCGAATTTATAATAACTAAAGCTTTTGATTCTGATAAATCATCAGATATCGCAACATTTATTATCATAAACGTAAATTTTAGCTTTCTCATAAATGAATTAAATTCGAGGCTTTGTTGATCTAGTCATATTTATTTTATTTTATCCTATTTTCGCTTTCAGAAACAAAAAATCAATGGGCAAGGGATGATCCAGCTTTTGTTGTAATTTTATCATTTCTTCTGGGTGGTAGGTTCTTAAAATTTTGTTTCCTGCATTCTTTGCCTTTAAAATAGTTAACCATTATTGTTTTATGTCACGTATAAAGCATCTGCAATAGCGTGGGGAATAGCTTATGGGCATGGGATGGTAGGGATCCTCAGGATGATCCTATTTATGGTCTTTATAGATTTTGTAGTGGTTGGTCTAGTGATATCGACGATTTGTTGGTAATCTATTGTTATTATATTATTAATTTTTCACCTCATACAATTATCTGATTATTTTTATTGTCTCTTAAAGGGCATTTGCAAACAGATTCCTATCACATAGACACACAGTACATGCTGTTGAACAGACTGTGGAGTGGGCCTACGCGTTTGATGTACATTGCAAGGCATTTTTCCCCTTATTTTTAATCTTATACATTGCCCAATTTTTCCTCATGCGGATCTTGACAAAACAAATTTGGGTTTGTTTATTCTTGGGAAATTCAATGTATTTAATAGCGGTATGCTATTATTGTTACATCACTTTTCTTGGCTATAATGGTACGTTATGTTTTTTCATTCAATGCTGATTTTCGATTGAGTTTTTTCTTACCATTAAAATAATTAATTCCAGCACTCCCATTTCTATTACATGCCGAGATGTTCT